CGCCAGCGCGATTGAACACTTTCCCATCCTCATCCATCCTTAAATCACATGCGTCGGATTGCGATGGTGCTGCTGGCCCAGGCTGGCGAGAGTCGCAGCCTGCACTGGAGCTGCTTGCAGCTGCTCCTGCAGGCGAGGCAATGGACTCTGCTTCGTCCACAGCAACAGCCGCAGCCAAGTCCAACACATCCTCTACATCCGAAGCCTCTGCATCAAACTCATCCAGCAGCTCATGAGCTAGCGCTTCTTCTTTTGAACTCGCATCAGGAACAAGTGCCTCGGCCTCGATTTCAGCATCCCATGATCTCAGAGCTTCGCCTTCATTGTCTCCAACATGAGCAACGGCATCGCATCCTGGCTCGTTCAGCGCCGTCTTCCTGCGCACCCTCTTTGTCGGTCGGCTTAGAGACTGATCGTCCAAAGACCGCACCGCAGTCTTGATGGTGGAAGCACGCTTGTCCGCTTGACGCTTTGCAGCATGCTCTTTCTCCCTGGCTGCCGCATCTTGGACTTCCAAGACCTCCAGAAGAGTCAAGGACACATGCTTGTAGTTGATGTGCCAACACTGCAAGTCACCATACAGTCCACGCATCTTCCGGCATTCGTCCAAGACCTCTGCAGCTGAAATCAAACTGCCAGCAGTGACTGGTAACGGCAAGCGGGTCCCCTGCTCTGGCTCAGCAGCCACAGCGCATCGGCTGTAAACTTGCTGATCTTGAACAGGGCAAAGCTGGAGAAGTAGAAAACCACGTACCTCCGGCCCACACCTCAAGCTTGCATCTGCAACTGCGATGTAGTACAGAGGCAACGGCTGCCACGTTGGCTCCGTTGGTTGCGCTCGCGTTTTGCACATGGATGCCCAGCGGTTCAACCGTTTGCGAAGGTCGTCTCGCCAGGCGCGCTGGCTTTCTGGCAAAGCATGCACACATGTTGCACCGCAAGCAGGACCCTCGGTAACGTTTGGGGTCGGCTTTGGATCGCATGGCTTCTGTCCAACTCGCTCGTTCCAATCCTGCGCCAGGCGTGCCACTGCCGGGCGGAGGGCTTCCAAGTGCTCTGCCCGGATGGGGTAGAACCCGTCCCCAGCAAAAGGCCAGGGGCCAGCAGTTTGTGGCACTTCTGCAGTGTCCGCATCTGCGGGGGCCCTTGTGCCTCTGCTGGCGGGCAGCCGAACATGTGCGGCTGTTCTGGCTGGCAGCCGTACGTCTGCTGCCCTTGTTGCGTCCTGATCACGGGCGCGCCACAGCTGAGCAACATCAGCCAATGTCTTGTTGGAGCAGTTGTGCTGCCGGACGAAATCGTGCCAAGCCGACTTGCCCTTCGCATCCTGCGAGGCCCGGCTCGGTGCTTGCACTGAGTGGTCCGCTGCTTTTCCGAATTGGCTGGTGTCCAGAATTGTCTTGCTTTCAGCCAAAACATGCTGTGCCGCCAAAGTCGAGTGCTTTGGCTGCATGCCGTGATTCGTGGCCCTGCGTGTGTGCGATCCAGCGAAAGACTTCTCACTGATGAAATTGGTGATGGGAGCTGTCTGGAGCAAGTGGTGTGTTCGCTCTAGATTCAGTTCACCCAGCACGTCAGCAACGCAGTTGAGGCCTTGCTTGTACTGGAGCACGAAATCTTCTTGGTGGACACAAAGATCGAGAAGCTCCTGAGCCAGGGCATTCTTTTTTTCCTGGCTGACAGCCGAATCGTCCTCGAAGAAAAGAGCGGCTTTCCACGGCCACGCGCCGAAAGGCAGGACAAGCCGGGACTGCAGTTGACCTACTTGCAAACAAACAGCAGTGGCAGCCAAGCAGTAAAGCCGCTCGTTCCACTCTTCCGTGGATGGCAAAAGAGCCTGCCAAAGCTCGTGTCTCTCATCTGCCAACGCATCCAGCAACAGCACCACTGCCTTGACTGCTGGTGACTTCGAAGGCCGCCCCAGTTCCAGAGCTGTGCAGGTTGGTTCTGCGTCTTGCAACATATGCCCTGTTTCTGTCGCAGATTTGAAGAAAGCTCCAAGAATTCGCAAAGATGGCTTCATGGCCAGTAGAACAGCCATCAGCTTGTCTCCAACATGTGGCGTTGTGACGAAAGCGTGGAATCGGCGAATGCGGAGATACTCTTGCTGCGCGAATTCCTCTGACTGCCCTAGTCCCAAAGTGATGTCATCATCCGCCTCTGGAAGAAAGCTTTGAGTCAGCTTGGAACCTGCAGCTGCTTGAAGCGAAGAAAGGACAGGCTGCAACATCTGTGGCAGCAGATTGTGAACACGGAACAGTGGGCAGAACCACTCGAGAACTGGACTGACTTTCGTCCACTTGTTGAAAGCGGGCGTGGGCGGCGGCGAGTCCAGGAAGAGCGTGCACAGGTCATCATGGAGTTCTTCCACAATGGCCTTCCGGCCACTGTGGCAGCCCAAGGGACAAAAGTGAATCACAGCATTGCTGCCCAACGGGCCTTTCAAGTTTCGCCGCAAGCGGCGCCAAGCCTTGGCTTTCTTTCCGGTCACACGGCGCTCCCCTGCTTGCTCTTTATCATTGCTAGTGACAAGGGGCCAAAACAAATCCCAAACAGCTTGCGCGTGGCTGACAGCCGAAGGGTCTGGCTTGTCATAGCAAACGACGAGCTGCTCCTCCAGGATTGCACGTAGCCTTGCTCGCAAGAGGCGCTGGAAACGAGACTGGCGGAGTGTCAAAGAGCCGCAAAACAAAGCCGACATCAGTCCAGAATACATCAATCCTGAAGTCAACGACAAACAAAGCTGATGCATTCTGCAGGGGCATGAAAGGCAGCGGACCTGCGTGGACAGCAGCTTGCGCAGACGCATGCAGCTGCTGAAGCTATCAGTGTTAAGCAGAAAGGTGGTCTTTCCGGCAAGAGCTTCCAGCTGTTTCAACGCGAGTGGAAGCCTGCCCATCAACGCTGTATACAGGTCTGCAGTTGACGTAGTCTTTAGCAAAGCTGTGGGCAAAACGACATTTAGCCGCTCCAACAGTCTGCCGCTGGCTGACAGCCGAACGACCTTCATGTGAATCACTAAAACACTGCTCAACTCAGCTCTAGCATTCACCGTGACAGGTTCGGTTGTTTCATCCAACGCTATGTGCACCCACTGTTCGGTTGCTCGCGTCAAACTTGAGAGTGCATCTTCTTGGATGCGCATGTACAGCTCGCTCATGCAAGCTCTCACGTTTGTGATATGTGTTGTGCTGCTGTGCCATTGTCGAGCGCATGCACGCACACTGGAGACTGTTGGCGCTGCTACCTTGACCTGGCAATGCGTTTTCTTTCTAAGACGCGTGAGCTTGGGTGTGGCAGACTTTCGCCGACGCGGTCTGGAGCCCCAGCAAGCCTGCAGTAGAGCAGTAGGAAGCCACTGTTTGTAAATGCCCTTGCCTTTGACTTTCTGCTCTTTGTTTGCATTGAGGTCAATCACATCCTCTGGCGTTTTCGCAAAGACCGCATTGTGACGATTGACCAACCATGCAATTCTTTCAGTTACCTTCAGCCTGTGTCTTGCAGCTGAAACGCGCTGACGCCCGCAACGGGCGATTTTTGCAGACACTGCTCCGCGATGCGCTGGCTTTTCACAACGCCTGACGCGTTGCAAGATGCGGTTCACTGCAGCAAGGTCGTCGTCGCTATCTTCTGCCATGAAGTGCTGGCTGACAGCCGGAACTTCGCCGTGCACAGGGCTGACAGCCGGCACGGCGAGTTGCCTTCAGGCAGTGAAGAGGGTCGCATCTGCAGCTGCCTGACACTGCTGCTGGAGACGGGTCAGCACATCGGCGCCATGACACTGCTGTAAGACGTATAAGGCATAAGGCCTACATCCTGAATTATGATTCGGTCTTATGTCTTGCGTCATGTCTTAAAGTCCTAAAGACGACAACATGTACAACTGGGGTATAGTACAGTATAGTATAGTATAGTATAGTGTATACTGCTACTGCAGCTACTGGCCTGTACTACAACAACAACTACTACTACGATTGCGAAGGCGCCGGCGACGACAGCAATAATATCAGTGAATGCTGTCAGCTCTAGCCTGTTTGGCGAGTTATTATTGGTTTTGGAGTCTGGTGTACAATTTTGAGTCGCTGGTTAGTTGTTCTGAAATGCTTGACTTTGAATGGAGTAGTTGAATTACATTAATTTACTAGTTATTTAGTTAATTCAGTTAATTATTAATTAATAATTAATTAATTAATTAATTAATTAATTAATTATTTAATTAATTAATTAATTAATTATTAATTATTAATTAATTATTAATTATTGATTAATTAATTATTTAATTAATTAATTAATTAATTAATTTTTTTTAATTAATTAATTAATTAAGAAATTAGTTAATTCAATTTAAATTTTTTAATCAATTATGTCTGTTATGAATTATCGAATTATTTGCTAATTATATGAAATATATCAAGTATTTCTGATATATGACATTATTGCCACATAATTGTAAGGTTTCCAGAGTAGGTGCGTTTGAAGCTTCTTGAATTCGCCCAATTATAACCTTACTTACTAAGTCCCATGACCCTCCAAACATGATTCCTGCCAACGGCACAACATGTCGTTCTGGGCATTTCAAGATGAGACATCCACAGCAGAGGCTGCTCTTGGAGCCAAGATGAAAGCTCTAAGCAGGCTAGGCCTTGCCGCCCACAGATCGATTTTAAATCGCGATGTCACGCAGGTCCGCGTCTGACGCGGCGACGCTCACGATAGCTCGGCCTGCAGCTGCAAGCATCTTCTGCACAAGCAGACACCCCATCGGACAGAAAGGCGGCAATTGAGCAATGTCTGCAACGGATGGGATCGCTCGCCTTCCTGCAGGAAGCAATAGCAGGGCCCTGACATCATTCGCCCATGGGTAAACAATGCATCTTACAACAGTTCCAGCTGAATACGCGCAGAGCAAAAACCAGCAGCATCTGCCTTTTCTTGCTATCGCCAAGTGGTCTTGGGTGCTCCTAGATTAAAAAAGGATACTTCCGCCACAATCCATCACATCAGGCAGCTTTGAAAAAGCAGCAGGCCAAGCCCAGAGCAGTTGACCTCTGCGCTTTTACAAGGCTGCCCAGCTTCTTGCCGGTATCTGCTTCAAACTCCAGCTCACCGTTCACACTGAACCTCGCCATCTGACCCACAGGGTCGACGCGGAGGCCCTTCAAATTTCGAGGCATTGAGACATCCACCTGTACCTGGTCGCCTTCGTGGTTGATGCGATGAACCTTCCAGCTACCGCCCAACAGGAAAGAGCCGTTCCTCGACAAGCCGGACAAGTCAGGTCCAGGGCCACGATCTTCGAGTTCTGAGACAGATCCGCAAGTCGACGCACAGGTGATGTGCCCGCTGCAGAGCGCAAGGGAGGCATATCCAGCACCTGAACGGAAGCTGCTGGGTGCGACAAAATCGATGTGCTCTCCGTCGCGGTTCCACTGAAGCAGGTGTAGCAGTGAGCGTGGCTTCTCCAAGGTGTCACCAATCTCTGGCGCCGAGTCCGTAACGGCAACCGCCAGGGCCGCCCCCGGAGACAAGTTGGCCAAGTACATGTCCACTCGGACGTGTAGCCGCAAGTGCCGCGCTTCCACTGCGCCGCGCAGCAGCTTGAACTCCTCCGCACACCAAGGGTAGTCGGTCTCCAGCGCTTCAGTCAAGTTGCCGAGCAAGGCAGCGGCAGTCATGGCCGTCGAAGCTGCCACACCGCACTTCTCCTGCGGCCTATTCAAGCTACACATCCGCTTTGCCAAGCCTGCAGCCGACAAGGAGCGCTGCACTCCGGGCGCGCTCGCATCACGAAGTCTCCAAGAGGTGCAGAGGGTGCCGACGCTGTCAACCTGCTCACTGAGAAGCTGCAAGGCAGCAAGGTCTTCAAAGCTCTCCAGCTCCATTCCGAAAGAGTCTTTGTAAAAGCCCTTGCGCTGTCCTTCGTCTTGCAGTTCGTGCTTCCGCTGCATGGATTGAACACGAACACAGTCACCCAACCTTGCACCCAGAAGCAGAACATTGGGTAAGCCAACGTAGTCTGCAATGTTGGACGTGTCGACCACAGAAGCTCGTTCAGCACGCACGTCAAATGCATCTCCTCCAACCAAGTGGATCCGAACGCATCCCGAGGCCAGCGCGGACTTGCAGTCGGCACACAGGAGCTGAAGTCGCTCAAGCAAGCTGGACTGGAGCTGCCCGGGTGCCGCTGTCAGAGGCCCCACAGCACGGAAGATGGAGGACGAAAAGTACAGGCTGGGGCGAAGGGAGCAGCCTTCGAGAAGAGTCACGTTGGCTTCGGCAGGACTGGGATGAAGGGCAAAGTCCTGGCAGCCACATGGAGGATTGAATTGCCATTTGGAGCATGATGTAACCTTAAGAACGAAGCTGAAGCTGACATTGTATCTGTGACAAAGCTACACTTCTAGCTATCTTATTGCTAGATGGCACTTGCAACCGCTTAACGGCCGTCCTTCAAGTAACGCCCAATCTCCGCGCGATGCTCTTCGCCTGTTGCTTGGCTGGATAGTTTCAATGCTTCCTCGAGTATCTCAGGAGAGCGGTTGAGAGACGCCAGCAACGCATCCGGACCCACAGTCGCATCACTCCAGGCTCCTGTGATGTCATCCCACTGCGCCACCTTCATGGTTGCTAACCATGGCGCAGATTTGACGGTGCTGAGCGCTGTCATCATTGCATCTTTTGCATCTCGGCTTATGCAGCCCGCGCCCCAGCACTCTGCTACTGTGCTGGCAGGGACATCCATGGAAATCAGATTCAGCAACATGGCATCACGAATCAGTACTGAGCTGGACACATCATTGAGCAGCAGCTCCAGAATGCTCTCGCCATCTCGGCGCTGCCACCATCCGCTGATGGTTTCCAGCACGTTGCGGATGTCTCCACAACCCAGAAAGATGGCCTAAGTTATGTAGCGGCCTTAATAAGCGGCCTTGATAATTAGAATAGGGTTTAGGGGTATAGTCTTCTATAAATACACTACTATACTATACTACAATATACCCCAAACCCTATTCTAAGTATTAAGACCAGAAGCCCTGGAAGACGTGGAAGGCTGCCCATGCAAGACATCCACTCCAAAAGTGTTGCCCACGGCGTAGTACCCCGGATCCAAATTGATCACCTGTTGTCGAACTGGGCTTGCGGCAAGATGTCCTTCGGAATCCTGTGTATCTGGCAGTCGGCAAACGAGGCCACGAAGCTTGGACTCGTTCTGCAAGTCGGACAAGCTCGGTGTTTCTGCCCGTTTTGGCAGTTTCTTCTGTTCAACAACTCGCAGAGGCTTACTCCACATCCGCACTGGGGCGTGCTGTTCCTGCCTGGTCTCTTGAATGTCCACGTGATTTCGGCAGAAGCTGCATCGGTGGACCAAGACGTCGCCATCGAAGTTGTAGTCCACATTGATTCCCACGGTCCCATCAGCAAAAGCGCAGCAGTCCACATTCGCGGTTGCTCCGCCCCTGAGGTGCACGGCGGAGCCGGCGCCGCTCTTCGGCCCAAGGTCTGCAACAAGCTTCTTCATGGCAGCGTCTGACATCAGTTTGCCATACAAAGCCTTCAGCTGAGGCCCAAGCTCCTTCTCCAGCATCTGGCTGCTAGCCCGGGTGTGCACCACGAGGCACGCTACCAGCTCTGCATGCACACCATCCGCGCAGGAGACGGCATGCCACCCTGTCTCTTTGAAAACGTTTCCGTGAAGCCTCGCCCTCAGCGGAAGAGCGGCTGACTTGTCTCTGCGAAGTTTGTCGGTGTTCTCGTTGGAAACCTGCTTCATGTTCTGCAATGTCTCGCGTTGGCTGCCAGCTGTCCTTGAAAGCTCGGCCTTCTGTCGATAATCAGCAGTTCTTTCGTCCACGGCCCGGGCTGCTGCCGCTGGGCGCGCACCATCCAGCATGACAGCCTCCTTCTTTGTTCGAAGAAACTCACAAGCACTAAGCTGGACAGTGCCCGTCTTTGCCGCCACAGAAACACCTCGCAAGCAATCATGGAAGCGGCAGTTGTGCATCTCCATCACCCCTGCCTCGCGCATCTCGACCGCCATGTTGGTCATGCCACGAAACTCGCAATCCCAGGCCTCAAACCGAGCTCGAACTACCGTGACGCCACCCACCCCTGTGAGCACACAGCGCCGCAAGTGAATAGAGGATTGACCATCACCTGCACTGACAAAGCCCATCAGTGGGTCGCGGCTGCCCTCTTCCAGGTGAAGCCCATCCATGGTCAGGGCACCGCCCTCCTCAGCAAGAGCCAGATTTGCGTTCGGGCTGCCTTTAGTCAATATGACCTGGCCCAGTCCAAGCAGCTTCACTCGACGCCCAACGGCGAGCACAGGAGAAGCTCTCATCCTGTATCGCCCTGGACAGAACACCGCCACGAGAGGGTCTCTCTTGTGCTCATTGGCGAGCTCTTGAACCAACAGCTGAAAATCCGCGTCTGTCTTGAGAAGGCGGTATGCGGCTGGCACCTGGAGCAGCGGCTTTACCTCAGGATGCTTGGGGCCAAGCAATGCCGCAGCAGCCTCCAAGTGGCTCTCATCTCCGGACAGGACGAAGGCACGCAACTGGCACAAGCCATGCTCGGGATTGAGGTCCAAGCACCTGAGTGCATGCTGCAGAGCAGCACCGTCGTCACCCAATGCCTTGCAGCACACGGACAAGTTGTTCTGCAGCTTCGCCTCCTCCGAGGGTTCTTTGCTTTCAGCGGCAACCAAAGCCTCGTAGGCCGCACGAGCGGCCTTTAGGTTGCCTGCCCGGTACAGCGCATTGGCACCCTCACGTGTCAGGCTGTCCGTCGATTCCATGCTGGCCGACGTCTCTAAAGTATCACACGAGACCCGAGCATCCCGCCTAGGCTGTGTGCGTGTGTGCAGATTACAAAAGCTTGGCATTGAGACGATCTTGACCGCACGGGAAGTTGCTTGAACCAATTCCAGAAATAGGCTGGTGCTTACTGCCACTGTAGCTTTTGTCAGTACCAACAACAGAATCAATAGCGACAGCAACAACCACGATCACGACCTCAACCTCAACCACAACCACCACCACGACGACGACAACGACGACAATGACGACGACGACCAAGACGACGACAACAATGACGACGACAACGACCGCCACAACGGCAATGACAACGATCAAAACCAACACCACAAGCACAACTACAACCATTACTGAACCACAGCAACAGCAACAATAACAGTAGCAACAACGCCGACGATGATAACTACTACAAGAACGACTGCAGTCATTGCAGTCTCCATACCGAAACTTAGTTCTGAATTAGAAATACCACTAACTATAGTACTAGGAATAACCGACATAGTCTTAATAGCAACAGCAGTACAAACAGTCATAGCACTGGGAATTGCAATAGTAATCGTGATGGTGGTGGCAAGAGTCATGGCAATAGTAAGACTAGCAACACTGGCACTCGGGAGTGGGGACAGGAATAGGAGCATTACCAGTAATGCTAGCTGTACAAGCAATGTAGTACTATCCGTATGTAGTTGCAGCAGTAATAGCAAGGGGCCTGAAGTAGGCGGGACGCCAAAGCGATAGTAGTAGCAACGGCAATCGTAATGGTAATGCTGATAGCCATAGTAGTATAGAAGTAGCACAGTAATTGTAACTGCCTTAGTGACAGTAACTTGCAAATGCTGGTGCTAGCAGTAGTACAAATGCATGCTTGTACTATCTCTAGTACTTGTGCTAGTGTGGAATACTTGTACTAGTTGCTAAATTGTGAAGGTAGCAATATGACCCAGAATAGCCTAAACCCTAAACCCTAAACCCTAAACCATAAGCATAGCAATAAGAGCAACAACCCAAAACATGGGCACCGCGCTAGAACCTACACCGGTCTAAGCTCCTGGCTTCGAGTTCAGCCCGCGGCTGCAGCAGCTGAAAGCTGCCTGCTACAAAAGAGGCCTTAATAATTACCAATACTATTTTGGGGGGGTTCCTTATTATAATTGTATTATCATGAGCCCCGAAACCCAATACTATTTTGGGGGGTTCCTTATTATAATTGTAGTATCATGAGCCCCGAAACCATAGTCTAATTATGAAGGGCCCACAAAAGAGCGACATCCACGAGGAGCGATTCGCTGCTTCGGATCAAGCTTACTCTGGTCAGCGCAGAAGACTCCACTAATGTAGTAACCTGATTAACAAAACTTGGGCCCATAGCAACAGACTAGGAACCCTCATAAAGGCCCAAGGTTTCTTAATCAAGATCCTACATTACAATCCTTCGGGTCAAGCTTTTTGTCTGCGGTTGAATCACAGCAACTTCGGAAGTTGACTGGAGAACAACCATGGCCGAAGTGCTGGCAAAGTCTGCGGGGAAACCTGCCGTTTTAAACGGCCCCGATCTCTTTGCGCAAATTCAGATACCCTTTTCGGGTTGGATGCTATCCGGCATTGGCATCATTTGTAAAAGTCAAGACCATGCATGTAATTCCCCAAACAACAAAGTAGCACCACGGAGTTTGTCCAATGTAAGGCGAGTTGTTTGGTGCAGGCAGGTGAGGTATTCCTACTCGTGCACACATTTAGGAACAAAAATGAGGTTCTGTTCACGGTCCACGCCGATGCTTCCAAAGAGCCATGTCGACTTCATTGTGAAATGCGATGCTTTGAATCTACTTAAAGGATCATGGGACTTAGTAACTAGGGTTATAAATAGGGTAACTATACTTATAACCCCAATTAAGGTACTTATAACCTTCCTTACTAAGTCCCATGAGCCTCCAAGTAAGGAACTCGATGCTCGGTGCTTAAGCCACCGTGCCGCCGCGCGTATGAGTATTGTGATGTAGAAATCGCGCTCGGTTTTGCCTTCGAAAGCTCGGAGTCGCTCTAAAGTCCGCGCAGTGCCGCTCTGTGAGGCTCACTTAAGGTTGCTGGGGTCGCTGCTAAGTGTGGTCTCGCTGTTCTCGGGCGTAGGACTTGTGCGAAACTCCAAGCCCTGCTCCCGCCAGTGCCGCGATGTGGCATGCAGCATCTCGCCACTAGTCCCGTGAGACATGCCTGCCAAAATCATGCTCTTGCCACAGTGCTGAACGCAGCATGGCTGCGACTCATGCTTACACCTCCCGAAATCGAGCTGCCGCCTCCCTGCCGCGCGCATTTTACACTGCGGTTGACACTCTGGGCTCCTGGGAGCATAAGAGGTTCTCCTGGTTCCTTCTTATGATTATAATATAATATGCCCCAACACCCTATTCTAATTATTAAGGCCCCTACATTATAGTACCTTTATAGTACTGGAATGGTTATTGGGTATAGAGGGCTTCGACTGTAGGTGCTCTTTCATTGTTTGGGGTCTTTGCTGGTATAAAGGAGAGCTTGTAGAAAGCCGCTTCGAATATCCTGGACAGCTGCCGCTTAATACAGGGGCCTTTTACTACTATTTGCTTAAGAAACCCCAAAAAAATAAAAAATAATAATCCCTATATTACCCCCATAAGGAATATATTTTTTATTTTTTGGGGGTTCTTAAGCAAATAGTAGTTTATGATTACCAACACATTTCGGGGTTCCTTATTATGAATATTGTATAGTATACCCCGAAAGCCTATTAATAATTATTAAGGCCCCTATATTAGAGCTGAAGTTTCGTGGCTTTGGCAGAGGCAAGGTTCAACACGGCAAGGCCCATGGCATCTGCCAAGAATCCGTGCTCTGCTGACTCATCAACCTCTGCATCATCCCTTGAAGACAAAGCTTCCATCCAAGCTGCAACTACTACGGCGCACAGGTCGGCCGTGACGATCAGAAAAGTGCTGACCATCATCATAATGCGCTGGACGACGCGGTAAAGTCTCTCATCATCCTCGAAGGAGTCCCGCATTTGGGAAACGGCCTGGGTGATGTTGGTGATCCCAGCTGTGAGGAGCGTCTTGTTGCCCTCATAGTCGGTGCTGGACAATACAACGCTACCGTAAGATGAGCCAGAGGTGCATGCTTCCAGCGCAACTGTCTCCATGTCAATCAGGGCATCGTTCGCAGCTGATGTCCTCTCCGCAAACTCCGCGCTTAACTCCGGGGCGGCAATGGCCAAGCCTTCCAAAGCTGCATCCATCGGGGCGATGAATTCATCGTATTTCTCGGCCCAGCTCTCATTCAGCGACAGGGCACAGATGCGCGCGCTGGAGGTCAAGGCCACGTCATAGAACGCCGTGTCCTTGGCATGCCAAATAAGCTGTTGCAAGGGGTCGGCGAGCTGTGCTTTGTAAAGAGACACCAGGGTAAGCGCGGCAGGGATGACGAAGCCCGTGAGCGCGGAGAGCTGTGCGCAAGCCGCAAGGTAGGAGAGCCTTTGCTTCAGGGTCTTCGGGCCTTTGAGCTGCGGGTCTCCGGCCTTGCCGGGACGCCGCAGGGTCGGCTTGGAGCAGGGCCCCTGTACCGTGACCACGACATCTTCCGCTCTCTTCAGCAAGCGCAGCCTCACCTGCTGGCTATACACTGCTTGTGCCTCATCCGCTTCCTTGCTGAGCTTCTGAAGGCTGCGATCCAGATGCTGCATGGGCACAATCATAATACACTTGCTGACTAATGCAACCACAACCAAGGAGAGGCTGAAGATGCTCCACCAGGACTGCATCTGCTGATGGCTGCTGCGCGTTGCGAGGAGCATGCTATTCATGGACTCTACACCTTCGAGCAGAAGTGCTTTGTTGCTCTCGTATTCCTTGCTGAAGATAACGGCGGCAGCTTGGGTGGTGTTGGTTTTAGACAGCTCGATGGCCTTCCCTTCCAGAGCTACCAGCCTTTCGTTCGCCGCATTTGTCGTGCGCGCGAACTCCCTGGCAATCTCGGGCGCACGTCGTTCGATGGTGGACACTATGCTCAAGAGAGGCTGCACGTTCAGAAAGTACTCATCACGCCATCGCAAGTCCCCTGACAGTGCCAGCAGGCGGGCAGAAGATGTCAAGATGAGATCCTGCAATAAGGCGTCCCTTCCGAGAGACGACAGCTCAGTGACTCTGAGCAGTGCCTCGGAGCGAGTTTCCGAAATCCACTGCACGGAAAACAAGGACATCAGCGCAACTAGGCCGATAAGCTTCATGAAGACCGTCCAGCGGAAGTGCACCTTTGCATACCTTCCCACACGGTCTCTGGCCGCCTCCTTCGCGAACATGAGCTGAGCGATGCCCTGATCTTCTTTGCTCCAAACAGGTCGCGCTTCCTCTGGCACGGCACTTGTGAAAGCCATGCCATCCACCCAACAAGGGCTTGCTTACAGGATCATGGGACTTAGTAAATAGGGTTATAATTAAGGTAACTATACTTATAACCCCAATTGAGGTACTCATAACCTTCCTTTCTAAGCAGGCCTGAAGGCCCTGAGGCTGGAATCGCACGAGTCAGCGAGTCAGAATAGAAAAGGAGGTTGAGTCGACTTGTGCTAGCATATCTTCGAACCGGGGCTAGAGCCCTACGATCGGGCATGGTGGAAGTCATGTTTGTGGCTGAGCCTATCTGGCTTTCACATGCTTTGATGATGAATACGTGCATGAGCCAGCTCTGCGATTGACAGCGCGAGGTATCCACAGCAATCGAAACCTGTTTTTCTGCTTGAGGATGCTGGGCTTAGGGAGTCAATCAAGTTGAATGCAAGTGGGTTCACATGCATAGGTGAAAACCCAACTGTAACTTCCCCAAATCCCAAACTCTGAACCACTTCACCCCAACGGCAAGCCCCTGCAACTCCCTGGCAATTCCCTTTCAAGCCCTTTGAGAAACTCACCGAAACCTTGGGCCAATTTGCAAACTTAGCGCTCTCCGGCAAATGCAGATGTCTCAGAGCTAGACAAGTCTGGGATCCGATGGTGACAGAACTGAGACCCTCATATGCAACAAAAGGAGAGCACGGACAGATGCAAAAACTGTGACACCGTCCACCTCGCACACCTGCAAACAAGCATCATCGTCATGGTCGTCACCGCCATCGCAAAATCAGCAGCAGCAGCAGCAGCAGCAGCATCAGAATCATCACCTGGACCACCGCAGGCACCACCAACGACACCGCCATCAGCATAAAAATATTTGTCATCACCACCACCGCCATCATCATCATCAAGACATCTGGATCACCAAAGACACCACCGCCCCCACCACCACCACCACCACCACCACCACCACCCCTACCCCTACTATCAGCATAACCAAAATGATAACCTTCTGCCTCTTCCAGATCGACGCTGGCACCACCACCAGCACCGCTACCAGTACTACTAGCTAGCACCGGCACCACCACCAGCAGCACCACGACGATTCTAGTACTAGTTCTAGTACTAGCACTAGTACCTAGTACTAGTAACTAGTACCAGCCGACGACAGCAAGCAATGACAACCCTCGTCATCTTGCTTCGCAGTGAGAGAGTCTCTCATCTAGCGTGCGCTTCAGTGTGGCTGACAGTGCACACCGGCCAATTAAATGGCTAGCACGTATGCTCGTTGAGCGGCCACTTGCTGTTGAAGCACGATCCACTGTACATAGATGTGCCGGCAGTGATGTTGATGTGATTGTCATCTGCGTCGGCCTGCCATCTTCCTTGCCAAACCCCGGCAGACAAAGACCTGGGCAAAAATTGCCAGTGAAGAAAATCGATGAATTCAACAATGTCATGTTGTTGCTCAGGGTCCCGCCACCCCAATGTAAGAAACCCCAGGAGCCGAAAGACTCCACCCCTTCGCTGACCTTGTAGCTTCATGTATGTGTTTGGCATGTCTGATTGGAGACCAATCGTGCGGACTGCAATATCAAGGGCATAGAGAAAAGCAATGGCATAGCAGTGATTGCCTGGATTCTGTAGGCTAAAGGAGGGCGGCTGACACTCGCTGAGAGTCGGGCTGAGTCGCTCTCCGTCTGAGCTTGTGTAGCTCAGTGGCCGTACACCAGCTGGGCCAGCTGATCCGCCAAGGGAGACCGTTTCAGAGTGCCCCGCTTTAGTGAAATGCCCAACAGCTGCCAAAGTGAGCTGCCGATCAGTGTGCACAATGTTTGATGCATCTCGTTGGCTTGCTCCCCTCGTAGAGAAATCTCGAGGATGAACGTGGCTTGGGGCTTCGGGCCGGCAGTGGCCTCCAGCACCTTCAACGATTGCGTGGAGTTGAACTTCTGTACGATTTCTCCGCGCATGTGCTCCAACATGAAGGAAATTTGACGCACCGCCTCCTGGTGGCTCAAACACTCTTTCTTTAGGTCCCTTACCAATTTCTTGGTTTTGTGACAGAACCTGAGAAAGGTCCACTCGCCCTTCTCGTCCATCCAGCCCGCTGCCTGGAGCTTTCCCTGGCCTTCCGTTGTAGAGGCCATCTTCTGCACTCGTGCTAAAAGCTCCTTGAGCAAGCAAGCCATCAACACAGTCCTCAAGGGGGACTGCTGCACCGTCTCCGTTTGATCCGTGGTATCCTGCAGTTGATTCTTGCTGTGCCACTGCTGGGAGAGATGGAGTGAAGGTTGGGAATAATGCTTGCATAATCCTGTCTCAGAAACATAATGAACACCTTGTCGACCCGTTGGGCTGCCAGCATTTCCTCGTGCTGAAGCATGAGCCGTGCCATCAAACGAACTTGAGGGTCCATGGTCGATTGTTGATGATATGGATAGTAGCCTCCCCCTCTCGGGCCCTTCGGATGGAAGGGAGCTTGGGGCGGTCGATTCGGATGTCGGCTTCTGTTCGCAAACAGAGGGCTGGGCTCCGGGCGTGGACGCTTGGGCGGCTGGCTGTTCTCTGAGCTCTCGGGTGCCGTTTCGCTCACTAAGGCTAGGGGCGTCGACGACTTTAGCAGCAGAGAAGGATCGCAAAAGGCGAAGATGTCCGCCTCTGGATTGAGTCCCACACTCTCCGGCACAGTCCTGGGACCATTGGTAGCGGAGCTTTGCAACACACAATTGGTATAACACTACGCATTGTTGTGAATGACGTCCTGGGGCTCCCACATTTCCTTTGCACCAGGGGCACGATCTATCCCGGACAAGCTGACTTTTGAAGCTGTGGCAGAGCTGTAGGGCCGCTTCGTGAAGACCAGGCGTCTCTACATCATGTATCCTGCGAATGTGTTGCTTAATGTGCGAGGACTTAGCAATCCACATGTGGCAAATGCTGCAGTGAGCCATGAGGTCAGCCTTCAGTATGGGATCCCTCAGTAGCCTCTCCCAGTCATGTTGCAAGTCACGAAAAAGCAAACGATCGACCAAGGGCAGGTTTTGCTGCACTCCTACAGCCGTGTCTGCAGGACGGCCCGGCGGCGGGCTCGGCAGCGAGCACTCAGCAGCCTGTTCGTCAGGGTTCTTGGGAGGATGCTTGATGAGGCTGTCTCCTCCGAGCTTCTCGCAGGCTCCACTTTCAATGTGGTGTCGAAGATTTTGCCACCGATAAAAAGTCCTGAGACACAGTTGGCAGCGTGGCAGTCCACCGCATGCGTGCAAGCTTGGCACAAACTTGGTGGGCGTACAAGCCACTCTTGGTGGCAGGAAGTCGTGCTTAACCTGGCAGTGCAGTCGCATCGCATGTTCGGTGGTGAACATATCGTCACACTCTGGGCACGGGATCTGTGGCTCAGTGCCTTCCGCCGGTTTGTCGGCTTTGCGCTCCTGCTCGTTTGCAAGGGCTTGCAGCGAGCCTTCCAGTTTTCGCAGGTGAGCAAAGATCTGGGGTTGTGTAGTGATATCAGGGGACGTCTGTGCCTTGCTTTGCAGTGTCTGATGGAACTGCCGCAAGCTTTCAGCAGCGCGGTGCCAGGCATGTCGAGACGAGCCTGCTGCCAGATCACACTGCTTGGCACATGGGTGAGGTGAGCAGGTTGCTTCTGGATGGCTCGTAGATGTCTAGTGCAGGCACTGGTGAGTTTGGAAAGTCCATCACTGGTGATGCCAACTGCAGGCAGCGAGTAATGCGCACTTGTGGAAACACATGCTCGCCACAAACGGTGTCTATACTCCAGACTGAGTTGGTGGTGGCCATTTAGGGGTTTTCGAAGGGCTTGGTACTTGGCTTGGCCCGCTTTAAGCCTATGACTAAGATTTTCATTAAGTCTGTGTTTGTAAGTGACCTTAGTGCCAAGATACTCATGAGCCTCTTTGATGGGAATAAGCTGCTCTTGACCCTGAACTTTGATGATGAGATATCTAGTGCCATTTTTCATCCTAGTGCTCTCATGCAAAATGTTTTTGGCTTGCTTGCCTTCAAGTCTCACCAGAATCGCTGTTTTGCCATAGTTAACCTTCATTTTGAAGGCAAGAAGAGCCTCAAGGACAACAGTCATCTGTGCAAGTGCTGCATCCCAGTCTTCTTTATTTCTGATTACCCAGTGGCACCAATGATCGTCAGCAAAGAGAACAAGCACACGTTGCAACCAATCCTCCCCGAGTTTTCCAATGAGAAGGTGCATCAGGGCTACCGTGTAGAAGGACCATAAGAAGGGTGCGATACAGCATCCTTGTTTCAGACCATTTGTTGTGATCTGACTGGCAACTTGATCCCCGGATCGGAAGACATATTGCGCATCTCTGTGCAATTGCTGAATGATGGTGATGGTGTCTTGCGAGACACCATGGTGGGCAAGTGTTTGGTAGACAATCGGGCGGTTGGTGAGATCATAGGCACGCGAAAGGTCAAGCGACAAGCTAAGTCCCCCCACACAGCCATGTTTGCGTTTGCCAGCGAATTGCTGAAATCTGTCAACACGATTTTCTCTCAGTATGGCACTAACCTCCTCAAAATGCAAATGAACCCTCAACAAGGCATCGAAAGTGCCCCTTTGTCGTGCATAAGCATACTGCGGGAGATTTTGGATTAAGGGGAGAAGGGTGTCAAGCAGAGATTGACGAACCAAGCCCGCGATGATCTTTGCACTTGGGCACTGCAACCCAATCGGGCGTAGGTTTTCCACAGATGTCGCAGGCTTACTGGGCTTAGGTATAAGGGTAATGTGTGCATCATGCAAATCCTTTTCAAGACAAGCGGGGCCTTCGGCACGAAAATGTCGCCGGATGTGTGTGCCCAGCAGCGGAGCAATAGCCCCCGCAAAAGTTTTCCATAAAGCTGCAGGGGCCATGCCAACAGGCACAGCCTTGTACATTCCAAGTTTTTGCAGCTCGTTCCGGACCTCGGCGTCTGTGCAAACCCAGTTCTCCTGCATTGGCAGAATGATAGGTTCATCCGGCATGGCACTGAAGGTGTCCTTGGCATATTGAAGCATGGCCTGCAGAGCTGCTTCCTTGCCTAAGACGTGACCATCAGGATCACGAAGTCTGGACAGGAGTTTGGGGCTACGTGGCGCCAGGCTTCGCACGATCTGATGCAGAAGGCGTTGGTTGCCTTGCTGGGCTGCACACTCAGCTTCCTCAAGCTTTGCAAGCCTTGATCTGTCGGCTCTGAGTGCGAAGTTGTCGCGATGCCTTGGCGAAGGCACATGCCGCCTTCCACTTGAGGAAAACCGCATGAGGAACCGCTACACTGGCAGCTCTCAGATCATGATAATGTTGCCAGGTTAGCTTGGCTGATGCTCGAAAGGAGGGCTGTGCACTAATACGGTTGTCAGGCGGAGGTCGGCTGGGAAAGTATTTGGCTGCGGCAGTAAGGAGAGCATCATTGATGCATCTTCTGGCCGAAGCAAGGTCTGAGGGTTGAGCAGCATCGAGCTGCTAGGCCACATCCTGCTGCAGGGCTCGGGCCTGCGCGGTGTCAGCACTGAGTGCAAGTAGAAGATCCGGTTTGCTGTATGCAGTAGCAGGAGTGCAGCCTGCTTGTGGCCGTCTGTTGAACGGCACAACAGCAATGGCAGCCTCGATTGGCCAATGGCCTGCATTCGAATGGGCTTTGACAGGAAAGGCATAGTTGGGTGCAGCATGCCGGGCAGAGCCTTTGGCATCACTCAGCTTGGTCATCACAAAATCAATGCGGGTGCGGCAGGTGGATGTCTCATACGTGTGCCCTGGCTTGCTGTGCCAAGAGTTCAAGACACACAGCTCATGTTGCTCCACTAGTCTATGTAGCGCTTTGTCACCTGATTGGCCAGCGGTCAAGTGGGAGGTGCCAATGTAGGGCCGCTTTGCAGCCAGCTGGGCATTGAAGTCACCTCCAAGCAGAAGCGGGTTGCGGCTGGGCAGTCGCTGCAGTACACCCGAAAGTTTCTGCAACACTTCTTGACGACACTGCATGTTCTGCTCCGACGACAGGTGGGTGCGCTGCACGTGCTGATATATACCAAGGATGTCCAGGCTGAGCTGACTATGCCTATGTACGGCTCTAGTGTGAAGCAGGCGACCTGGGCAAAGCTCTTCCACAACTGGGTCTTGAAAGGTGGCTTGATTCAGCATGATAAGGATGCCAGCATACCTATCAGGGCCTAGCTTGGCTTCGTAGCCCGACGTGTGTGTGCAAAGCCACCTCCCACTACGAAAGTCACTGCTCATCTGCCAATGGGTTTCTTGTACAATCACAGCATCAAATCTGTTTTGTATATCAAGCCAAGCCACGAGTTCTTGAAAGCTCGGTCCCGACAATTCCCCAGCATTCCAGCAAAGAAGCTTAATCATCGGGTGTCGTGTCGGTCTCGTAGCCCTTGGGGGTTCTGTACAATCGGAGGGCTAATGAGGATTCAGATTTACAGGTGGATGCTTGCAGGGAGGTTGAGGTATGCCACTGCCCTCTATACCAGGTCCCGCCTGCAAGCGACTTGGCGGCACGGTTCCTCGCACGACGGAATGCTCTCTTGGTGGCTTTGGGAATTAAGGATCCTATATTGAGGCCGTCTCTGGGCGCACTGCCGTGCAGCTTCCCCCGATCGGATGATCGAGGTCCCCCACCTACCACGGCATTAGGTGGAACCCTCGCTCCAGCTGCAGATGATAGCTGAGTCAGGCTGATGAGTGCTAATCTGCAGCCAGCGGACTTGGGACCGCTGCAGCCATTACCTGACGGTGAGTTTCTGACATGGTTCATTGGGTGCTTATGGGGGTTACTGGGACTATGGCCTTGGAGGCGCTTTCGCTGCGGAGCAGGCTGCGTGTCAGCACTTGGTGCACAAGCCGCGCTCCATGCAGAACGCCTGGGGCATAGTGGGTCAGAATTTTTATGTTGCGGAGGGTAAGTAGGGTGTTGGGCTTTAGACCGTCTGGGCGTCCTACGGGATTTAGGTGGACTAGACCCCCAAAAGGGATGGGGCGAAACAAGGCGCAGGTGCCTTCGGAATCGTCTGGCTCGCAAGAGCGGTGCTCGGTAAGGAGCAGGTGTGCTCGGCAGGTTGCACCGGAGGGCATCATTCCTCCCTGGGTGCATGCCCTTCCTCAGCATCAAAGGCCCTCCAGCCCAGCAGACGAGATCCAGTGAGGATGCGTTCAGCCATGTACTTGGTGGCTGTCCAATCGCGTGCTGCCAGGTGCCGTCTCGTCCAGCCAACTCGTGCTCCCAGGGTGCGGTTTGTGGCTCCGTGCATGGTGGCCAAAAGCTCCCGACGATGAAGGTTGACCAGTAAGTCCTTGGCCCGTTCCAGAATAAGTCCCTGTAGCACCAAAGACACAACGCTTGGAACCTCCGTGGAGCCAGTGTTGGCCGAATTAGTCGAGTCAGAGGAGGCCTCGCTGCTGGGGTCTTGGATGTCGTCCGAATCCACGTCCAGCTGCAATGGTGAAGGGTGTCGTCCATAGATTCTGACTGCCGGGCCCACATTCTGTGGTTGAGGTGGTGGCGGTCCTCGCGGTGCTTCTTGCTGCCACCTGCGACGGCGAACCCTTCGCCCACGATCAACATCATCATTAGCGTCGCCCACATCTTCAATGGGATCACTCGCAGCAGCAGACTGTGCAGCTGGCTTCCGCATCTGCACGCCATGAGGGCCCATCCAAAGGCTAAGCCAAAAACACACCCCAACACCCCAAGCAACACCCCCGGCCGCAAAGCCCCGAACCAGAGCCCTCTACGGGGCACCACTCACAGTCTCGGGCCGTGGAGCTTAACCCTCGTCATCATGACCATCATCATCATCATGAGCAGCAGCACCAGCAGGATCATCAAGCACGGACAATACTGCAGAAACGGCAACAGGACATCTTGGTGCCAAAACTGCGACAACCTTAAACTTCCACACTGCACAGACTCCGCCTTAGTCTGGAAGTTCGAACTCCGAATCGCCATACTTAAAGCATCATGGGACTTAGTAACTAAGGTGATAATTGGGGTAACTCTACTTGTAACCCCAATTAAGGTACTTATAACCTTACTTACTAAGTCCCATGATCCTCCAAGTACCCTGAATTCCTAAACGATCCGCCGAAAGCACGAAAGACCTCGACTACAGAGCGTCGAAACCCCCCAACTTCCCCAGCCAACATTCTCAATCCCCGCATCTGACATTTGGGAGTTTCCGAAAATAGGGGGGTACCAGATTTTGGGGTCCTTATAGTAAGGGTCCTACTATTTTAGGGTACTATATTAGGGTCCCCTATTTTCGGAAACTCCCATTTGGCAACTGCAACAGGGACCTCGCTGTCCATGTGCAGGAGCACGTGGCCAATCAAAAGTCAGTTAGGGTTCGGGCTTCAGTGGCTTAGGCTTCGTTGCTCGGGGATTGGAAGGTTGTAGGGTTGAGAATGTCGAGCTTTCGATGTGCTGGTTTGTGATTGGATGTATCAAGCCATGCATCGGAGTGTCTACAGGCAGAGATGGCCTTGGCATTGAGACGCATTTGGGAGTTTCGGAAAATGAGGGGTACCTTATTTTGGGGTCCTTATAATAAGGATCCTTCTATTTAGGGTACTATATTAGGGTCCCCTGTTTTCGCAAACCCCCATTTAGGTTGGTGCTCTGACTGAGGATGCTCTCGGAGTTCTGGGTAGAATAAACTGAGGCTGAATAACCTGACAATCCGAATTTAAACCCCTAAACCCTATTATCGGGCTACTATCGGGCTATTCGGATTTGAGGCTTAGGGGTTTAAGGTTCAGGGTTTAGGGTTTAGGGGGGGTTTAAGGTTTAGGGTTCAGGACCTTGGAATGGTTACTTCAAGAGAAGAACTGGCAGCAGCAGACGATGCTTACTTGGAGGATCATGGGACTTAGTAAGTAAGGTTTAGGGTTCCTTTTTAGGGTACTATAGGGTTCTATAATGGGGTTCCTTAAAGGGATCTGAAAAGGGGTCTATAATGGGGGTTCATGGGACTTAGTAAGTAAGGTTATAAGTACCTTAATTGGGGTTATAAGTGTAGTTACCCTAATTATAACCCTAGTTACTAAGTCCCATGATCCTTTAAGTAGGCTGGACGGACTGGAGTGCAGGGGTGGGCTTGCTTGAACCCCTGAACCCGAAGTCGAAGCCGAAAGTCCACGCTTCACACTGCTATGGGACTTAGTAAGTAAGGTTATAAGTACCTTCATTGGGGTTATAAGTGTAGTTACGCTAACTATGACCCTGAAGGAGGTTGATGATGCAGCAGACGAACTCGAATCTTCGCGATTGACGAAACTTGGAGTTACGTCGGAGTTTCACACATCGGTTGCCAGTTCCACGAATGCTCGAACATGGAGGCCGAAAGTCCATCAAGGTAAACGCATCTAGTAAACTGCTTCAGGACGATGGGAGAGGCTCGAAATCGCAAATCTTATTGAGGCATGAGATGGCCTAAGTGCTACTTGGAGGTTCATGGGGTAGTTAAAAATGGGGTTATAAGTCCCCGAACGTGGGTTATCACTATGATTACCCTACTTATATCCCCCCACATATACACTTCCAACTACCCATGAACCTCCAAGTAGGGCCTGACTAGGAGTAATATTGGGGTATACTTTAGAAGCTGCCCCCACCCTGTAATAGTGACCATAACGATTATATAGGATTATACTAGGGCCCTACTATATTCCTATTATACCACTATTACAGGGTGGGGGCAGCTTCTAAGGTATACTATACTAACTATACTGTAGTTCTTAACAAGGAACTCCCAAAACAGTATTCCTGGTATTCCGGACAGACTCCAGAGCCCTATTCGGGCGCGTCTCAAAAATCTACGCAAATGAATTCGAGTTGTGAAACGGGTGGGCTGGCCGCCGCAGCCAGAACTCCTGCGTGCCAGAACGCGGGCCTTCGGTGGACTTTCTCTCGCAGGTACCTTGGATCCAAGAGAGGACTGCCGGCGAGGGCCGAAAAACGGTCTGTAGGCGATGCATGGTGAGTTCATCTTCATCAAGCCCATCTAGCGCCTCCGCTGCAGTGGGTGCCCGGGGCCCGAAGAAGGTCAGCGGTGGACGCGCAGCAACATGCGCCTGCCACGCGCCTCTACGGCGCGCCTTCTCCTGTGCTTTGTCCTCCGCCTCAGCCTCGTGCACCTCGCCCAGTGTGAGGGGCGGCAACACCTGGGCACAGCGTAAGAGGCAGACATGGTGCTGTCGAAGGTGGTACTGCACGCGCACTACCGAATGCAACCACTTGTGGCAAGCAAGGCAGTAGGGAACCGGCGCAAAGTGCCGAGAAGGCGAGAGCGAGCCATGCGCACGGGCTTCATGTACAGCGACATGCTTGTGAAGTCGAAAAGCAGCAGTGCACCAGCGGCAACGAAAGGGCAAGTCAGCCACAGGTGGCTCTGCTTGTGCACAAGTGTCCGGTGTCTGACGGTCCCACTCCTTAAGGTCAAGTCCAAACCCTTTGACGGCCGAGCGGACCTGTGCTGGCCACCATGCTCCATCTTCACGGACTGCCTCGAGCAGGCTCGAGACCGGGCAAGGCGCCGCCAACAATGTCCTGGCAGCTCCATTGTACACCGCAACTGCGCGCAGGTCCAGTTCCAGCATAGCAATCCAAGACTGTGCAGGCTTGAGTTGCCAATGTACACAGAGCATGTGCAACAGGAGGGCTGGTCCAGTAGAAAAAAGCCTGCGCAAGAAGACGGCTCGGGCAAGCGCTAGAGCAAGGAGCGGGGAGGTAGCTCCGGCTGTGAGCAGGACCCGATAACTATGTAGGTGCTCCTCTTTAGTTTTGCGACGGATGAGGGCACGCCACAGGCCAACGTAGTGCTTGCACCAGGTACGCCGATGCACGGCACATGTCATGTCGGTGATAGCACATGAGAAAACAAAGCGGGAGAGCACGAGAGAGCGAAGGAGATGAATACGGATCGTCAAGGGGACACTGGCATTGGCAAACAGCTGTTTGCGGAGAGGCTTCATGACGGATCGGGCCTGCGAGTATCGAAAGGCAATCTCCGTAGTGGAGGCGCAGTTCGCAGTCACGATGCCTCCCAAATGCCGGTAGACATCAACAACCGGAAGGAAATGTTCCCGTCCCGACACAGCGTCGGAGAGGACATATCCCGGCAAGCCTTTGGGGTTGAGGCTAGCATGTTGGTCGACAACAGGCACACACATGCTAGGCAGGAGGACAGCTGACTTGTCAACGGCAAAGGTGAGTTCAACTCCAACTGCAGTGGCCAACTCCAAGTGAATAGTAGCAGCAGTCCGAACGGCTTGATGCAAGGCTACCTCCGATACCGCAGACTGCAGGTGTGCAAAGTCATCGGCCCAGGAGACGTGATTGGCACTGTCATCCGCAGGAATGTCATACCAATCCATCGGACTGGCACACGCCGGGAGGTGTGTGGTCAGATGTCGTCTCTCAAGCGCTTCGTCAACGGCTGCCAGATATCCGGCCAAGCTGAAACCAAATAGCAAATCGGCTAATGGGTCACCGAGGCGGCTGCCCCGCGAGGTGGCCGTCAGCACAACCGATTTGTCTAACCTAAACCACGTGCCTCTAAAGAGGTCAGCCACAAGGGCCGTGGCATGCTCGCCAACACCAGCAGCTGGCAGCAGGGCAAGGTTAGTGAGGTGTTGATGCAACTCATTGACTGCAGCCGGAGGCAAACCCAACTGGTGAATGAGTGCCAGCAAAGGCCGGTCATCCCGCAACGTGGGGACAAGCGTGTGTCGCACCATCCGGTAGTAGGCCGCGCGGATGTCGTAGAAAGTGACAGCCGCAGTACAGGACCTGCGCACAAAAAGCCCCATAAAGGACCGGACCATCAGTGCAACGGTGTCCACTCCGACACCACGGGAGGTACCCGCCTGCAAAGGCCCCTTGAAGGCCTCGAGGTGCGGGGCGAGTTTGGTCCGAACGACGCGGTGGTACAGTTTCCCCGTCCTGCTTGCCATCAAGATGGAGCGGAAGTTGTCGCACAGCAGTGCTGCCGCTGCCTTCTTAGCCAAGGCAACTAAGCAGCCGCCGCGCCATTCGACCGGCTCACGCACCTGCAAAGCCGTCTTCAAGAAAAGAGGCATCATGCACACGGCGGTTCCTGGTGGAGAGACACGGTAAATTTCAGCTGTCAGACCATCTGCACCCGCAGCTTTGTCAAAGCTGGGGGCTGTGATCTGGCGTTCAATGTCCCCCAGGGTGGGCAGGCAAGCCGGGTCAAAGACGGGACCATTGGGCAGAACAGGAATGTCAGGCCGACTGAAAGCATCAATATACTCCTCAGCCGTGACAGCGCGTCCGGCTTCCTGTTGGGCGAAGTGTAACCGCCAGCGCTCCTGCCTGTCCTCTGGTGTCTGGGCAAAGGTACCATCCTCCTGCAAGAGGCAGTGGCACAAATCCAGACCGTCGGGATGAGCGCGCAGGCGGGAAGGCTCTGCGAACAGCAGCAAAGAGACGGCGGGGGTCACGAAGGTCCTGAAGCTGAACCTCCTGCACCAAGGAGTGCAGGTAGACTGCGCGATCAAGCTTGAGGGCCCGGCGAAGGTCGATGGTGAGAGCATTCAACCGTGCAACCGCGGCTGCAATGCTGTGGTCAATTTGACGGATCCAGGCTTGTGCAGTGCGCGCGGCATGGGCAGTAACAGGCTGCTGGCGGGTGCCAGCAATGAAGGCTGCAAACCCAATGAGCAAACGCCGGCGGCGCAACTCACGGTTTTCACACCGCAGGTACCCCCTTAACTGCGCACGTTCCCGTACCAAGGCCAATGTGTCGGGACTGAGATGGGCCTGGGTGGTAGGAAGGGCGGTCTCTGGAACAAGCTCTGCGCAGGCCTGAGTGAGGCCCGGCACGAGGGAAGCGAAGTGTGAATCCGGATCACACTCCCAGGGGATGCTGGTGGTTCCCCGTAACCATTGCAGGAAGTGACCAGACTGGCTCTCGGAAGGACAACGGGTGGGTCTGCATGGACGGCGGCTAGCTTTCCCGACGACCGAACCGGGCCCTAAGGCAAACTGGTCGATGATCGACACGAACCTGCATGGATTCGAGCTGTTCCCACACCCAGGAGCGGAGATCGAAGCGCTTCCAATCCTGTGGCACTGCGATATAGTCAATCCTCCTTTGAGACCCGTCTCCAAAAGCGGCAGGGCCCATCCAAGTCCAGGAGGACCCTTCATGAAAGGCCTTGAAGGTGGAAGGGACGCAACACCCAATCTGAAGGAGAAAGTCGTGAAAAACCGCACCTGCCGCTCCTTCGGGCTCCAAGGCATGATTGCCAACCGCATCTGTCTCAACCTCGCCGAGTCTGCCGTTAGCATCTGCTAGCACGATGATGGACGAGCCTTCCGGCCTTTTCTGAAGCTCTGCCTGCCTATGCGCCCAGAAATCACGGGCCTGCTGTGCATCATCGCCGACCAGCCGGGGCCCATGGGCAACCAGGATGGTTATGCGACACCAGGCCGTGCAAACCTGAACCTGAAGGTGCCTCGGCGAGTATCCTGTGACGACAATGTCATCTCTATGCACACATTTGGGCTTGCCTCGAATGCTAGCGATGGGAATGCTGAGGTTGAGCCACAGTGAACAACCGTAGCTGCCAGAATCATCAGCCGCCGCATTGAGCATGAGTAGATCAGAATCCGGAAGCAGAGCATTGGTGGGGAGTCGGGTTTCTTGGAGGCCCAAAGCCCATACCTTGCACTTCATCATCTGGGTCTTTAGGAGGGCCCGTTTACCAGCGATCTGCATCCCGAAGGACCCAGCGCGAACCTTGCGCCCATGGGCAACACCAGGGTCAAACAAAGTAAGCACATTATAGGAGACCACAGTGAAATCGAAGGCAAGCTCAGCTTCCGGAAGACTGACCTGTTTGGTGCCCATGGACGGAGCCACAGTAGTGTGCTGTGGCTGGGCCTGTAGCCGGTGTGCCTCCGCCTCCAGAGCAGAAAGAGCCGGCAACTGCGAGCTAGAAACATGGGCCAACCAAGACCAGCCGTGGAGTGGGTGTGTTAACAGACGGGCGGGCCACGCGGGCAGCAATCGGTCGTAAGGGCTTTCATGTTGTCGCCTAGCCCATTTGGCCAACTGATCGCAAAGCTCATTGCCGATGGCCCCCGAGTGTCCTGCTACATGCGCATGCTGTAGATGGCACCAGACAGTGGCCCGCTGCCGGAGCGCAACCGCAAGCTCAACGAGCGGGCTTGGCGCAGTAGCGCCGCTGCGCTGAGGAGGCCGCTGTGCACCGAAGACTCCTGCCCCGACGGCGATGGCATCATAGCGTAGTGTCATGGGCACTTTGAAACGGCGACCCCATTCCAGAATCCAGGTCAGGGCCCAAACTAGGGCCAAGGTTTCGCCTTCGACAGCATCCTCATGTGTCTCGCCAACCCAGTAAGGAGTGTCAGGCGGGACGGCCGAATGCGCGGCCCATCCAATGAGGAATCTGCCTTTGGCAGTGACAGCCCATACGGAAAATGCCCAAGCACAGGGCGCAGTCAGTGTGGAGGCAACTTCTCCGTCAGCAGATCCATCAGTGTAGATATCGATCGCTTGAATGGGTCCAGCGTCAATCGCTTTGCCCCAGACTGGAATCTGCACAAATTGCGCCCGCCATTTAGGTGGGAGCTTGGGATCCTGCAAAAGTTGGCGCAGATCACTATCCAGCCAATCTTGGTCTGCGCCAATCCCCCCAAGAACAGGCTGGTGCGGGTGTGGAAGCAGTGCAGACAAGCTGGCCACCATCTCTTGGAAAGGCGTGGGCGGCACCAGGACTTCAAGCACAAGCGTGGTAGACGGCTCCGGGGTGCCGACAGCAGGAGCAGCATGCAGGGGCAGCAGAACCAGCAAGCTCGTGCTCCCACAAGGTGTCTAGGAGTGTAGCTGACAGATAAAAGGCGTATCCGTCGGCTTGCCACAAAGCCTCCTCGAGGAGAGTACGGAAGTCTGTATCGATGCAGTCTCCGAGCTGCACATATTGCCCAACAGCAAAGGGGTTTTCAAGCTGTCCCACAGGGGGCGGTGCCAGGTTTCGACAGGGAGTAGGCAACCGTCGTGCACCAGATGAGCAGGACAACAAGTCAGCAAACACTGCTACATGAGGCCCCGCGCTGGTACAAGCCCTAACCGGATCAAGGTGTTGCACAGCCTCAACAGAGGCCGGATACAAACACATAGCGACCGGGATGACGAGCCAGACTCGACCAGGACGCGCCGTTAGGGCAAAGAAGCACCACAGAACAGCAGAGGCATCGAGTAGGCGGCCGGCCCAGAGGCCAGAGCCTATCAAAGCCAGCCAGCACAACGCAACACCAGTCCCGGCGGTGTAGGGAGTGTTGCTATCAGTCCCACGAGAGATCTTGCCGCTCTCGGGGTGGTTGGAACCATGTGGTTTGGCGTGATGCATGGACTGTAGGCTTGGATTTATCCGCTCTCCGGTGGCAGGGCGGTCATTCCATTGGGAGTGAGTGCTGCACAGCCAGCCACCACAAGAGGCGCCACCTGAGTATGGGCGGGAAGCAGAGGTGTCCGCGGATTTGCCTTGGGCGAGCTTGAGAGTAAGAGAGTGGATCCGCATCCACGTGCACATCGCACCAATCTCATGGTGTCGCTGATGGCTGGGCTCACCTGGAGTAGCACCAGCCGAATCGGAAAGGGAGCCAGCTGAGCACTGGAGGGGATTGCCCTCCATCCATTCACCCCAATCCTCAATGCATCTGTGCTGTTGATCAGGGCCTCCCTCAGAGTCAGAATCGTCTGTCAGACGGGCAGGGGTCGCTCCAGCAGGCCGTTTTCCATCACAACTGGCAGTCGCGACAAGGATACGGCCTGCTGCAAGGAAAACCCATTGCTGTCCGGCTGGAACCCCATCGAAGGTCACGGTCCAAGGCCGGGGGAGATCTTGCTGCAGGGACTGCAAGGGCGGAAAGGTGTCGAGCCACCCGTCCACAGTGGCAAGAGGGATCCAACCTCGCAATAATCGCCTGGCATCAAGGAGGCTGACAACAGGTCGGCTGGAAAGAGCCAAACGCCCAACAGCAAGCGCGGCCACAACCGTATGACACGCCTGGCCCCGGACACAAACATCAGTAGGCCTCGGTAGTGCTGGGTTGAGGTATAATTCTGCAGTCGGGCAGCCGACTATGCGGGCAACGTCCTCCCTGTATGACGTCGCTCGCTCAGCATGCAGTTGAAAAACCTGGGTTCCGTCTGCAGTAGCAATACCATAGCTTCGTGTCGCCTGGCGGCCAGGAAAGGCAGGGCCAGCGGCCCACATGTCCCCACAACGCAACATGTCTTCCAGGGACACGGGTCCCGCAGGAGTCTCGGCAGCCGAGAAAATTTGAACACAGGCGCCTGTGCGCAGGACAGCTTCCTCGTGCGCGGCGAGCGGGCCTTGGCCGTTGACAAGGATGGCAGGGAAGTTGTCATCCTGGGGACCGACAATGTCCGCGAGTAACGAGCCCGACGCAATGGGAGGGGCAGGCATTGCAAACAGGCAGGGATCTGGACCAGGTCCGACAACGCTGACAAACACTCCATCCGCAGCCCATGCGGGAAGAGCGAGAACCAAGCCCCAACGAGGATCAGGCTGAACGTCGACCGGGACAAGCACAGGAAAGGCCTTGGCAAGCGCCTCCCTCCGGGCGATGCGAAGTAAGGCAAGCGCCTGCTCAATGGTCGCAGGCAGGGCAAGTCGGACTGTAACCGTTTCAACCGCATAATCTGGCATAAGCAATGCGAATGAAACCGGGACGTCTGGTCTGACAGAACCAGGAGTGCAGGAGGTGGCTTCTGCATGTGCTGCGGCAGCAGAGACGCGCTGAGTGTCCGGAGGTACACCAGCTACAGGCTGTGTGGCCTCAGCGCTGCCAACAGGGCCAGCCGAGGGGGTTGGCTCGGACGGCGGGCGCTGCCTTGGGGATCTGCTGCGATCGGGCCCTTGTTCGCCAGGAGCAGACTGGGATCCGGGCCCGTCGGGAGCATCGGGTGCATCGCTGTCCCCGCCATCAGATTGATCTGTCCTGTCATCTTCCATCATTAGGGAGTCGTCAACTAGCTCGGCGGTGAGCACTATCCCATTAGATACCCGAAGATGTGGCCCTTGGTCGGTGTTTTCGACAACAGCCCCCCAAAAGGCAATGCCAAACCCGGTGGGGCAAGCATGCGCATACCGCTGTGACAAGTCGTCAAGGGCAACAAGTGGGGACGGCACAAGGAACCAATCGAAACCCCGCAAGAGCCTGCGGCAATCAATGACAACGATCAGCCGAGATTCGGGCTGCCTGGCAGGCGGGAATGGCAGACGGCTGAGCTGCTCCGTTGCTACCAATACTTCCGAGAGGTATCCCTGGCGAAAATGGTCCATGACCCGTGGCAGGGCCGGCTGCAGGGTTAGAGCATCAGGGTCCGCCTGCAGTTGGGCGGCGAGATCCTCTCGAAAGTGTCGCCTTCTGCCTGAAAGAACCTCAAAATGCTGAGCTCCAGCATCAGTAAGGATCGAGAAATGTTGCCCTGGCACCTGACCTGGTCCAGGCAAATCTGCTTGTGGGTTCCAATCTGCATGGCTGAGCAACATAGTAGGGAAGTCAAAGGTAGCCGGGGCACCGACATCGGCTGGCGTGATAGTGAACACCATACCGTGGAAAACATCAAGCAACTGGCCCTGGTGGAGGGGCCTCGTGAGGCCGTGGACAAAGACATTGTGAGTATCCCGTGCAGAAAAGCCTGCTGCCAATAGCACAGATTCACGTTTGAGCACTGTATGCACTGCACTGGAGAAAAATGTCTGGTTCACCTGGCGGCAGTCAAAGAGCGCAACAACCTTAACCATGGGCCAAGCTGGTCCAGCCAAGAGCACCACAAACTCTCGAACGGGGTGAGGCTGTGCGGTGTAAAGGCACGGAAAGTGTTGGATATTGTCGGCAGAACGTGCTTCACGAATCTCTTGCAAGAGAGGCTCAACCCCACTAGGCAATCGAACCCGAACCAACAGGAGTTCTGGAACGTAGTCCGGGGCGAAGATGAGTACCAACAGTTGTTCCCAGGCCTCATCGGCATCGACCGCTCCAACAGTGGGCGCTGCAACATGAAAGGTGGGAGGATCGGGCTGGTATGGCTCGAAGGGTCGGGCAGGCCTTCCGATCCCGAGGCCAGCGTGCTGCTCCGGAGTGGCCTGTGTACGTCGGGCACCTATACCTAGGCCATCCTGGGACTTGCATTCACGAGCGGCGCTGACAATTACATCATGATGAGCTTCGCCTGCCTGAGTCGAAGGGGAGGCAGTCGCCGGCATATCCGCACCAAGGGTCCCATCGACTGGAGAGGGAGAGGGGTCATTGTCCGGCAACGGGACGGCACACCGCTCGGGGGTAGCGGGCCGTGCATCGCTGAGTTGTACCTCTGCAACATCCCTCCGCCAATCCCATGAGTCTGGAGTACCCGGCTTTGCTGGCAAGGCAGCCGCATCAGCGACAGGGGATCCAGAATCACTGCTCAAGTCAGAAGACGAAGGCAGCCGGGGTCTGGCAGCTCGAACATCCTCAGCAGTCGCCTTCCTGGCGAAGAACAGTAGGGTGGAGCTGCCGTCAAGCAAGATATCATCATCAATACGGCATCCGCCAGCTACTTCAACCCTAAAGGCCGGATGTAGGCGCAAATCAAAGGCAGAGAGGAGGCTAGGCACATGCACCGTGTGACAATGAATCCTTATGAATCTGGGCTTGAGACCGAGCGGTCTGAGGTCACACAGGACGAATATATCACGGCGCGAGGAGTGTAACAGGTGTGGACCCTGTGGATTTGGGGCCTCTGAAACAGCGACGAGGCTGGTTGCATGTTCCCCGTGCACATCAAGGTCAGCAAGAGGAAAATTGCAGCAGGTAAGGGCCTCAGGGGGTCTGCCCACACAACGTGCAATCGCCTCAACAACAGTCTCGCCATAGTGATGGTGTGGGGGCAGGAAGTACCTAGTCTGCTTGAAAAGTACACTGACCCCATCAGTGTGCTCTGGTTGAGGCATGTGTTGGAGGGGTCCCCATTCCTCCTCGGCCTGGAAGAGCCGATCCACGTAGACCGGCTGAGCACGGTTCCTGTCGTTAAAGACTGCTGTGATCACATCACCGTCATGTAGGTCCACTGGGGTGTCATAGGGCCAAACCTCAGTGGAAGCACCAACATACAATGACAGCGGCTCGTCGTGGTAATGCGTGAGTGGTGTGAGACAGGCTACCAGAGACGCATAGTCCAATCGGACTGGCAAGACCGTCGCAAAGTAACGACCTCCTGCTCCAGTGAGGTCGATAACAACTGCAACTCCCCCAACATCCTCATGTGGTCGTATCGCCCCTGAGACCCGAATGAAGGAACCGTAGCCTGCAAACCTCTGGGGCGTGAGGGGGACGACGTAATCGAAGAGCCTGTTGGGCACACCAGGCACGTGGTTTCGTATGGTACGTACCACATCATGCAGGGTGGGATGTGGTCCAACCTGAATGGCCGCAGTGACAGTATGGTAGTGTGGAGTGTGCACATAAACTCCCAACCATTGCTTGGTAGTGCCCGGATCTTCTGCGAGCGCGACTGGGAGGGCTGGGTGTGTCCGCGGGTCAACATGTACGCCGGGCACAGGCTGCCTGTCCTCCTGCAGCTCCGCGGGCAGCTGCACACTCACTGTACCTCGCAAGGCAGTAAGATCGCTTGGGAGCAGCTCATGCGGCCTGCGTATGCGGGGCTCCCCTTCAATC